TAAAAAATTACGCACATAATTTTTTTTTAAATTCAAAATTTAAATCTTCAAATACAGACTCCAAACTTAATCAAATATTAACTGTGACCTTCACCCCTTCTTTCAGCAGAGATAAAAAAAGGCAGGAAAGGGTAATTACGTCTTAACAATTACGAGAAGAGAACCCAATCCTATTATTAGCAAGATCGAAGGTCACACGAGTCCCTTGCTGCTGTACGTTCCCAATAATAGACAAAGACGACGACGTAGGAGCAAAAGCCAAGCAAAACGTTCCCGATGAGTCCACGGGGATCAAATAATTTTTAGCTGGCAAATCCAGTGATTTTCCATCGCCAAAATGAAACGAAACCGTTGGCACCCTAACGCTGCTTCTCGAAGACAAGTCTTAACACGTGTCGAACAACGCCATCCCACCCGTGCTCGGCAAGTCCTGAGTTAATTCCACGAACGCATCTCGGAGGGCGTTGTAAGCCTGAGTTTGCAGCCGGGTTATGGCGGTCCCGCAGTCTACGATCACTCCTCCGTCTCCTGAATCGTTCATGTCAAAAAGACCAGGGGGGATTTTAACCAGTTGGCCACCCACACTGAACCCGGTCAGACCAACGTAATAAAACGTATTGATCTTCCGGCTCCTAAGTAATGGAGCGATCACCGAGTCAGCAGGTAAACCCGAGTTGAAATCCAAAGTCGACGAGCCGGTCGAGTCAGGATCCACTAAACAATAGGAAAACGACGTCGCTTTAATCTGTGATGTTAAAGACAAGGATCCACCGCCTAGTCCAAGCAACCCCGCAGCTCCAACAAACAAGCCTTCATTATCATGGCCACAACCCAAAGCCGCCATTGATGTTTCCGGAGTTTCCAAAAGACACCGTTTCGGTGATGAACTCGCCGACCGTGTAAGACCCATCTCCGTACGAGACTTTGTAAAGGCATTTCCCGCTACGGCAAGCGGAAACTTCAAGAGAAGAACACTGCCTTGAGCCGCAAGAAACCGGACTGTAAGTGGAGGATCCAGACGGGTTAAATAAAGGGTCGGATTGTTGGTGACAGTCCGTACAGGGTTCACATTGGAGCCAATTAATATCACTTCCGGTATCTAGAACCATGCAGTATTTTTTGACCGGGTTACCGACTCCGACCCGGGAAAAGTACTCTCCACTACCTTGGCTTATCCCGGAAATAATAGGGGTGGAAAGTTCCTCGGATTGGACCTCGGTGGAGAGTGGTTGCAGCTCGGATTTATGGACCCCATTGAGGGCCAGTAAGAGTTTGGTAGTAAGCGAGTCGGCTCGGGCAGAATCACGCTGGAGTCGGGATAGGACAAGGGTTTTGTAGTGGGTGTGGCGGGTTTTGTGGAGAGACCCACGAGAGTGAAGTGGAAAAGAAAAAACAGAAGAGGAAGAGTTGAAGAAAAGGGGTTGGGTTTGGGATTGAGTGAAAGGCTTTAGAGATTGTGGATCGAAGGAAAGAATATGTTGAGCTTGTTTAAGAGAAGAAGAGACATCGAGTGTTGTCGTTGTTGTTTGCGGAGGGAGACGAGCGAGAGTGGAAGTAAAGAGGAAAGAAAAGAAGAAAGAAATGGAGAAGAAAGGGAAATGCTTTGAAGAAGATGAAGCCATTTTCCTTTTTCTCTTCTTTGTTAGGGGAGAGTTGTGTCTTATTTTCTTTCGGAGAAGGGGGAGAGCGAGGCAGGTCAAGTCAGGCTTGTTGGCAGACTTTAAATGGAATAAGTTGCGCCGGTTCAAAACCAAACTTTTTCTGCTTCACTTTTTTTTCCTCATCAATTAAAAAAAAATAAACAAACAAAAAGAGTGCCAAGGCACGTACCACGTAGCTTAAACGATAAGGCCAATTTGGGGTTTATTCATTGCTTCACTCTCACTACATTATTTGAAAATCTCAGATTTATGCTTTGTTTGGGCAAAACGACATGCACTAAACTAATCTAAATCGAGAAAGAGAATATAGTTTTGTTGCAAAAAAAAAAAAAAAGAATGGAATTTGAAAAAAAAAAGTTATATATATTGAAATTTAAATTTTAAATTTATTAAATATAAAATAACTACAACTATATTATTAATTGGACTGAATCTTATATTTGAGTACAAAGTTTTTTACTAATTAGCATGGCCTTCTTTTTTTTTCTTCTATGAAATTTCAAAATTTTAGTTTAACTACTTGATTTTTTTTTTAGTTAACTTAATATGTGAGAAATTAGATTCAAGAATGACCATTTTAAATGGAATGCTACAGCTAAAATCCTATTTAATAAATTTAAGTAGTCTCCATTCCTTTGAAGGAATAAAACAAGAAAACAATAACTTGACAAATGGTTTGGTTTGATTCGGGTGCCATTTAGATAGAGTAAGATCCGGATCAAACTTATCATTGATTTGAGATATTAATAGGATGAATATCTAGTCTATTCAATGCGAAGCATAATGAACATAAGGACCTCAAAAATTATCTTTTCATCCTGGGTAACCATTTATATAAGGGTATAATTAACTATTTGATAGCAAAAACAGTAAAACATCTAATATAAAACATGATCTCTGGTGCAACAAGATACAATTGATTAGCTAATGTTTCAAAATTTAATATTAATTCTTAAGAACCATATAAATCGATACCCAAAACTCTTATTAATAAAAAAAAATTAAATTAAAGAAAGATGAGTTTTGATCTATTTTCCTATAATATAGAAAAAATTTACTAAACTTATTGCACAAACTTTTCATTAATTTATTTTTTTATTGAAATTTAATTTAAATCACGATATCATTTTTTTTTCTTAAATGAGGTTCGTTAATTTTTTATTCAATTTTTTTAAATTTATACTCTACTCCGAGTAAAGATTTATCCGATTTTAATTTGCACATAAAAGACAAATGATTCAATACCACGTTTTTTTGCTATGATTTCATTTTCTACTCTCATTAGTGGAAAAAGTGGTTTAAGATTAAAGAGATACAAGTGATAAAAGTGGAATGGATTTGTGAGAAATGATAATGTTTTAAGATTAATGTCCTAAAAACATATTATTCATCTATCCATATATCTATACAAATATTGCGAAGCTACTCATATTCATATATTAATTAAATGAGTTGTAAATGAATCAACCTATTTTAACCCATAATTTTTTATAAGCATTTTAACCCTCAATTAAATAGGTTTGATGTGTTCAATACATATTTATTTATTAATTTTAAAACAATTCATACTCATAGCTTAATAAATGGAAATATACAGATATGGCTTAAAGGTGTTTATGGTCCATTGATCAAGCTATCCATTAAGTCTACGATCCTAACTTAAAAGAGTTATCAAATTGAACTTTGAATATAATTTTTTTAATTCAAGTTCAGCCCAATTTGATAATAAAATTATATTAATTAATTAATAATATTTTTTCATTAAATTTTAATTCTAAAATATCAAAAATTTGTTAAAAATATATTTTTTCAATTTTTTAATAATAAACTTAATTTAAAAGATAGATTGGATTAAATGGGATTAGGCTGGAACATTTAAACTTGAAATCAATCAAGCCTTATCGGCCACGAAACAATTAGGGTTGGCAACGGATCGAGTCATGACGGGTTTTTGGTCGTCCCGATCCGACCTTATTTCATATTCGCTAAATTCGATTTCGATCTGACCCGAATTTTTTTATTTTTTTTTTACACCCGAACCCGACCCAATCCGATAGTGTAAAATGTACCCGACTTCGACCCAACCAAAATTTTTTTAATTTTTTTTATACCTGAACCTAATCCGATCTAATAGTGTATAAACCGTATCCGACTCGACCCAATCTGAAATTAATAAAATATTATTTTTTAAATATAAAATATTATTTTTTAAATATAAATATTTAATTATATAATTATATAAATATATAATTAATTAGTTAATTTAAAAAATTATTTTTATATAATATCGAATCTGATAAAGTTTATCTAAAATTTGAATCCGATTCGATTTAAAATTTAATTTTAAAAAAAAATTTAATCTTATGAACTCAAGTTATATCGAAACTCACCAAAAACGAGTTAGGTTACCACCCTAGAAACAACTCTAACATCGTTTCTGTGCCCGTTCGTAAAGTCATTGACATTGCGCTAGATTCGCCTATGGTGCCATGAGCCAACTCAAATGCGGGCCACATTTGCATCCAATTCAATTGGCTGATGGCAAGAGTAGCTGTAATTGCATCCTTAGGGATGCTTTAGTCTTTCCCACTGTAACATCCAAATGGCGGACTGGGACCATGAACTAGGAAAAAATAACTAAAGAGTAGATTAGGCCCTTGGGCTCTTTGCCGAACAAAATATTTTGGGACTACAACATGCAGAATTTGACTCTAAATGTGCTCTTAGAATAGAAGCCAACATCCAAGCCAATACGAAACAAATACTCGTATCAACGCTATTTGCACGCTTAATTGGTGGCAACTCATTCCTTAATTAACCCCGACAAGCTCGATCATGTTTTTTTGTTCTTTTTCCTTTTTCAACCTTGAGCTCAGCTTCAAAAACTAATCAACTTAATCTACCACATTAAATCAATCTTTAGCTTGAGCGAAAATACTTATTTCTTCCTTTAATAAAATATATTATGAATATATACTGAAAATAGGAAAAAAAAAAAAAAAGCCTTGCAAATTTCTTGCAACTGAAGGTTTCCCGCTACATTTTGCTGGATGCATGCATGCATATAGATTTGATAATTTTAAATACATGAAAATAAACTAAAATAACATAAATAATATTATTGACAATTTTAATAAAAATTAAATATGAATTTGATAAAAAAATTTTATATTTAACATATTAATCTGAATTATGACAATAATTTTTATGTTTTATATGTATTTGACGTAAAATAAACATAACATAAATACATAAATTACTAAATCTAAATATATATATATATATATATATATATATATTCAACTTCTCATTTATACTTGAGCAAATAAATTATTATACTAAATTAGATATAAGGAAAAGAAAAGATAAAAATCCACATTTCACTTTTCAACTTAAATGCATTAGAGCTGCTTAGGCTTTCTTTGAAATTAAAAGGGAGGAAAAAAAAAAAAAAGAAAAGATCAGCCCTTTCATTGAGGACTATTAAACTATATCCACCACGACATCATTCTGTTACATGGTACAGTCTGAAATTTCTGTACATAATTTCAACGACGCATTCCTCTCACAGGAACAAAATAAATGAAGATATGGCATGGGTAGATGAAATTAAAGTCCACGTGGGAGGTCCGTAGTTTTTCCTCCAACGAGGGCTTCCTCAGAGCCATTGCTGCATTTACCAAATGCATAGTAATAAAGTCAGATAATTAGAAAGGAAACCAGGCAGAGTTATCAAAAGATTTTAGGGCAAATGATCACCTGAGGTAGCTTAGGGCTGACATTCTGTATAGACAAGTAAAGACTAGAATGTGCAAACCAATTGTGTAGAAAAATGCAAATGTTCGAGCATACCTACAAAGGAGGCGATTCATTAGCAAATCAACTATCTAGTAATACAGTTGCAGAAGGAAATTGTTCCAGCCTACCCTTATGTGATGGTCACTGCATTTAATGTAACTGCAGGCCACCATTTCTGTGCAATTACCAGAAAATTTTTCTATAAATAAGGTAGAAAAGGTTGTAAAAGGGTATCAATCTTCCTTTGTAATTGGTATTTGCGCCTTGTATAACTCATAGGACAATTAGCCTTGTATGGATAATAAATACTGAAATTTTGCGCATACACACATGCACATTTGTAGACACGGAAACAGCAGTTAAACCAAAATTAACCTATTTACTAAGCTTCTGAAAAGAGTCCACGACCCTAACCCTAAACCCAAGTTCAATTAGCATATAATAGGCAAAGTAAAATGTGAAAAAAGTTGAATCTACAGCAAGATGTACCCAACATACCTGAAACCTAAGTAGACACAAGTGACCATCCTCAAAAAATATAAAATATGATAAAGAGGAGGAAAGAAGACACAGAACTAAAACCAGCCTTGATTGGAACGCTAGATGCCCAAAATCTACCAGCCACAATTACCACCTTTACACATGTGCACACACTCATAGGAACATGCAAAAAAGGGAAGAAGAGATCCAGCAAAATAAAGAACACTATACTTTATATGCAATTTGATAATGAAATAAAACCATACTTATTGCCCATTAGAAAACGTCCACTGCTGAGTGTGATTCTGTCTCTGAATCCCAACTCCTTGTATCTTTGATCCCTCTCCTATGTAATAAATGAAAATGATTATTCCATGATATCCAACAAACAACATGAAAAAAAATATGACGTGATTTGGAAGAGACTATGGATTTAAATGCTAACTGGATTTCAATTTTCAATATTCCCATGTTATTAGTTAGTAGGGCATGGATGGTAGAAAATAAGCTCTACATCGACAAATGTTTTTCATTATATTTGCTTGATAAACATATTTCCCACATCAATGTACAAGGGTGTGAATACATTTTATCTTGAATCTCTCTTGACATTCATGTTGGGAAAAGAATGCTTGAGCATTGTTTGAAAGAAACCAGAGTCATCTGAGTCTTCTATTGAACTGAAGACATATACTTGCCAATATCATTAATTGCATATAAGATGGAACACATGGCATGAATACAAAATCTGAAATTATGCTTAAAGAAGATACATGCGTAAGATTTAAGCTTACAGAGAATGTGTAAATGCAAACATAAACAGAAGCATGTGAAGAGGCATTGTGTCTTCTCTTCTAGAATATTCTAATGAAAGAAGAAAACAAAGCTCTGCAGGCCTAAGTTCAAAATCAAACTAGATCGCTAAATATATGTAATGTGACAGAACTATATATTCATCAAAGAAGCTCAATTTTACCAACCTTTTTTGAGAATGCTGCAAAGGGATTAATATCATCTTCATATATCTTCTTGTACTTGGATTCAACATCTGAGGTGAAACCACTTTCAAGATCCTCTGCATACTGAAAAGTGATCAAATACCAGAACTCAGCTTCAAGAAGCTAAAGACACTAGATGAGAATTATGAAAAATACTAAAAAGTACCTTCTTTGATCCTCTAGAAATTACTTTCTCCTGGTTATAATCCTGGACATAGCGAATCTTTCCATAAAGTTTAACATTATCAGCTTTTGTTTTCTCCAGTTCTGCTGTTAGCTCGCCTATCTTCTCCTTCAATTGCCTTATTTCCTATAAAATATGGAATATTCAATATGCTACTTTGCAGAAACCATAATCCTAACAACACATGTAATAAAACTTCCATTAAATAAAAAATGAGATCAAGCGCAAGCATGTGGAGAAGGCAAATAACATACTTCTTCTGTTTCTCGCAAACGTGCCCTAAACCGGTCACGCTGGTTACAAATAACCTTCAGCATCGAGCTTTGGTCTTGATCTGAGGAAACTTGTTTCTGATCTGTGTTCTGCTCCAGAATAAGAAATGTATTAACAAATCAGAACAAACTCATTGTGAAAAGTGAACTACTTCACTTGTAAACATAATTCTATTTGATGTCAAATCGAAACTAAAGTGTCCGTCTATAAATATTTATTATGGTCCATGATATCAAAAATTTAAAAGCCAAATTTAACATCACCAGTCAGACACATCAATCTTACAAAAATATTATCTCCATATGCCCTCCCACTATCAGCAGGTAAAACATGCTACATCCAATGAATGCTTAGAACAAATGAAACTATAAATTCTTTCCTAGCCTAACAATAAAAAGAAGAAAATCAGTAAGTGTTGCTGACACTGACTCTTTACATGTATCTAATTTTTCAATTAAAGTTGGAATCTGACTTCCTGACAGAGGTCCTTTTATAACCATCCCTAATCCTCACACACCAAAAAAACAAAAAACGAAATGGTAAAAGATAAAGACATAAGAAATAAGGAAGCAAGGGTAACAAAAGAATCTGATAAAATTGCCTAAACCACACATATTGAGGTATCAAGTTCTCCGGTAATTATAGTTCATGCTGGTAAGAATGGCTAGAAATGAAAAAGGAGCTAGAATGGATTTAAGCAATGCAATGCAAATAGCAAATAGGAAGTACAAGTATAGAACTACAAACATCATGTTGTTAAGTTATATTTCTTTGATGCAAGTTAAATTATATTTTAGAGAATACATATCCCGGTAACTTGTACATTAGGAGTAACAAACAAAAGCAAATATACCTCAGAGAGTTCATTCCCTCCACTTTCGGAAAGATCCCAATTATCAAAAAGAGTCCCCTTCCGTTCTTTGGAACTATAACCCTGCATTAAAGAAAAAAAGATGACACAAAAAAGAAAAGGCAACAGTGTGGGGACTAGCATAAACTAAGAATTGTTATGTTGAGTCCAATATCATAATCTCCATGGAACAACATAGAGCCACAAATTGATAATCTCAATCTTTCACAAGGTAAGAGAATTTACATATATTGCAAGTCATTTACGGAAAATGCTGTAAGAAGCATATAATGAAGCTGGTCAAAATTTCCATTTTTAGAATGCCAGATGAGTTAATCCAAACCTTCAATATATCATCTTCTAACTTCTGTATCAACCTTTGTTGTTCGTTAACCTTTTCTGTGACTTCTACTATTTTGCCTTCAGCCGTTTCCAGCAAAGATGTTTTCTCAGAAAGTTTGACCTGAAAACCAGTAAAAGATACACAATCACAGTTATAACATGATAATTAAAACAAATCAAAAGCATCAAATTCTAACTCCCATCCAAAATTTTCTAAAGTAAGAATACAGTATGATAACCACAGATGTCCACAAGATAGACTTCTGTATAGTTTTCATCTAGAAAGATATCAATAATCCATTCATATGTACCCTTGCTGGAGAAAATTGGGAAAAGGAAAAACTAGGGAAGGAAAGCACCAAAAAAGAGCTCATACCTTCAGCTGTGTGAGTTCATGTTCCATTTTCCTGTTTTTATCAAGAAGAAGAGACTCCATTTTACTCATCTCTTCCCCACTGGTAGCTGCTTCCCAATCTTCAGCCTCAATTGAATTATAACCTACGGCCTAAACATGCAACAATGAAAATATATCAAGATGCTAAGAAGCATGATAAAAACAAGAAAATAGTAATACAAGGTCACACACAATATAGCAACATACGTAAAAAATGAAACTGCAACAAGCAGAAGACCATGACGGACAAAACTGTTTTTTTTTTTTTTTCCATGCCAATTTAAAACAAAATAAACAGACCCCTGATTGAAAAGTATACCAGTTTGAGTACAACTTAAGCACAGATTCATCCTCAATATACTTACTGCTCTTAAATTGCATTATATACCCTCTTTAACCTCATGATACTAAAGTTCACCACGGGAAAGTAAAATGGCTGCTTATGTGGATAATTAAGGATTCCCACATGCTAAAAAAAGTCTTCAAGTGTCAAGCAAATATGGCTATTGATGAAAGGATTTAAGTTCAGTTGTTTTTGCCACTTGCTTCTTGCTTTCTAAAAGTTGTTCAAAAAAAAATGCGAAGAGTAAAAAGCAACCTCATATTTAATTTAACAAAAGAGCCAGTGGCTACATATTCATAGAAATTATTATAATAAAAGTAGAATAATGCATTCTATTATTAAGAACAGTTAAATTTTTTTTATTTTAAATCTTCAAAAAATTTATTGCTTTTTAAAAGAAATTAAAAATCTTCTGCCTTTTTCTTCAGAAGCAAAAGGCAAACCAGCAAAAACAACCAAATGGAACCTTAAATATAACTTGAAGGGAGTTTCTTCAAATTCTTATCTGATTGGAAGTTAAATACAATTGACCATTCAGCATAGCATCATTGACTAGAAAACAATCAAAACAAGCAAGAGAATTAGTTAGTTAACAGAATTGGAAGAATTTGAGAACTTGAGAATCATCTTTAACTTCGGTAAACTCAATTACACAAAATTCTTAAATGGGCAGCAGCTGAAACTAAATTAGCCAAAAGAGATCTATAAAGAAGAAATTCTTTAAAGGATGGTTTTACCTGCAAAATTTTCACTTTCTTACGCAAATCATCAACCAATTTTGCTGTTGGCCTTACTTGAAGCTCTTTCTTCATCTCCTCAATTGCAACTTCCTAGTTTGACATATAAGAAGAGGGAAAGGAAATATAAGGGGAAAAAATCCGTTCTTACGAATCAAAAAGGTTCATTTTAACAAATATAAGATCAATACAGAATTAAAGAAAATTGATACAATAATGTGAACTCTGGTTACAGTTCCTATCACCGACTGAGTCTGACACATTGAACAAAGCACCTAGGAAAAATTCTCTAAGCTCACTGAAAGTTGATGTAATCTAACAATTACCCTTTGATTACCATAATAATAAGTAATATCCTAAGTACCAAATTATGAAATTTTTTGCAAATGAATAGACTACAGACTTTTAAAGGGTAAATCACACTGACAGCCCATGTGGTTTTGTCCTTAAGATTTAATGGTTTCATTATGTTACCATAGGTAGTTACAATGTTCAGTGTGAAGAAAAAACTGCCCTCACGTGATATGAAGTGCAAAAGAAAAGTACCATATAGGGTGTTTGGTAATAGAAGTAAAAACACAAGGGCATAATTACCAAATTTCTAACGACTAGCAAACACATTGCATGGATTGGAAGAATAAAACAGCAACAAGGGTTTTTACCTTCTCATTGAGCAATGAATTCAATTTCTTGATCTCGTTCATGTGTTGTTCTCGCTCATTAGATAAGGTGGTTTCAATATTGTGAAGTTCCATATTTAGCTCAGATATTATCTTTTCTTTGGCACTTAGGGAGTTTTCAAGGATAGTATTTGAATCTACATTATTGCTGCATCAAAGAAAATGATGATAAACTCAGAAAAATTTATTGCAAATATTAACATGTAAATTGTAAAAATGACCACAGATATGGAGGAATGAAATATTACCAATGTGCATATTACCACATCTAGAACAACTTTTGACTAAGGTAGAAAGCCATGATAGGATGCAGAGTCAAGAAAACAACTCTTGAAGAAATAATACCTCATTAACATATAACAATATATTTACTTCACATGCAGTCAAAGGTAAAGTACAGAAAGTAGGGCTGTAAATTAACCAAGCCAAGTATTCACTTGTTTGGGCTCAGCTTTGTTAAATTTAAGCGAGCCCGATAAACAACCAAGCACTTAACAAACTTAAAAATTTGTGTTCAAACTCAACTCACTTAAGTTTACCAACCTTTAAGCCTAAAACAAGCTCTAAATGAGCTCATAAGCCACAAAATAAACCTTAAAACTAATAAAAAAAAATGGTTTTAAAACCTTGTAAAAGAGACATGGCCGATAGAAGCCTCTACCCAAATAGGCCCATGGGTTGCAGATTTAAAACTTTTATTATTTTTGTTTGAAAGAGTTGCTGGGGAGAGGTTATTTATAGACTTAGCCTCCCTTACCTCAGGAAAGACAAGTTTTCTTCTCTTTCAAATATCTACTTTCAAATTTATTAAACTTTCATTTTTAGGAACATAAAAAAGCTATTTTACAACAATATTTTTAAAAAGTTAAGATAATTTTTAATTTATGCCATGTGTAATTTTTAAAGATATAAATTTTCTATGATGATTTGTATATTCCTACGAGAAACTAAAGCTTAAAGTAGTCAACTTCTGAGGGATTAAACAAATTATAATCAAGCTTTTTTTTTTTTTTAACTTGTTCATAAACATTAAACAAGCCTAATTGCGAAAAGAATGCACTGAGTTTACCTCTGTTTGAGCTCGGCTTGTTTATTAAACGAGTCTTAAAATCTTGTTTGAACTTGCTTGTTTAACTTATTAAATGAACATAAACCAGCATAAACCAAGATTATTTACTAGTCGTTCGTTGAACATCAGTTCATTTATAGCCCTAATAGAAAAGGGGTAGTCCAAGCATATATAATGAACCTAAGAAGGGAGAAGAGGGGATGAAGTTGGAGGAAGGAGGTGAAGTGAAGATATGATTTAAGGAGAGTCAGAAAAGTTTATCTGCATCAAATAACATATAACAAGTAGTTAAAGAGTAGTATTCCAAGATCTAGGGCCATTAATTTGATCAATAAGTTAATGAGAGAGTTCGAACAAGATTTTATGACTCGTTAATAAATTAACTGAGCTCAAACAGAGGTGAATTCAACTCATTGTTGTTCACGAACAAGCTCATTTAATGTTTGTGAGCAAATTTGGTAAAACACTTGATTATATAGTTTGTTTAATAATTGACTACTTTAAAGCTTTAATATCTTTTAGCAATCTACAAATCATCGTATAAAATTTATATAATTAAAAATTACCTTTTAACTTTTTAAAAATATTATTGTAAAGTAACTTTTTCTATGCCTAAAACTGGAAATTTAATAAGTTTGAAATTATATGTTTGAAAGAGAAGAAAACTTGTCTTTCATCAGTCCCACTTTGACACAACAGCCAAGGAAGGGGAACTGAGTCTATAAATAAACTGTCCTCAGCAACTCTTTCAAACAAAAATTATGTAAGTTTTTTAAGAGCTTGGTTATTTATCGAGCTTGCTTAAATTTAACAGAGCCGAGCCAGAACACGTGAATACTTGGCTTGGCTCAGCTCATTTACAACACTGCCTGGATCACAAAAAGGTCTTTGTGGCCTCCTTTAGCCACTTGCATTGGCAACAATGCAACTGAAAAACAATGTCTTTACAGCGTGCTTGTTAATTTATGAACTTCTGCAAATGCACAGACAATTTTTGGCTTAAAATAGATGTTTTCCTCATTTGGAATATGTAAATTGGAGCCTGCCTACGCCCAACCACAGCCACACACCCCCCCCCCCACCTGGTGGCAAATCCTAGGCCCCAATAACAATCTACACATTTACATGACATGTATAAAACTTTGTAAATGAAAGATGGCATCAAATATCAAGAATCAGATATTAAAGTCTATCAACTAATCAAGACCTAAGTAACTGTTTCACTCATTTCTTCCATTAAATGTAGCAAGAAAAAGAGATTGTACTTTTGCACAGACGATGGTACTAGAGTACTTTACCTTCTCTTGTCTTCAGACTCTTCATGAGCTGACTGTAATTGGGACCGTAGAAGCCCCTGCAGACACATTCAATTACAAACATGGAACATCACACCAAAAGGAACCAAATTACCAAAAGACACAAAATCCAAAAATTAAATGTATGCCCTCTTCATTTGTTACAATGACTGTGTCAGCAGAATCCACCACACCGCACATATCAGAATAATTATTGCAAGCATGATCTGCTTCACTGCTGTAACTAGGTGCAAGGATTTATTTATAAGCAGCACAATGCAGATATTGGAGCTTTTAATTAAATAAAAATAACCTATGCAGGGAGTGATTGGCAGCTAGATATTTTGAAGTTGAAGAAAGGCAGCTGTGATCCTTTATTTACAACTAGGTCCATGTTGACTGCCATATGCAACTATAGTCTCCTCTGCTCTTATATTGGCAAATCAAGATCTTAAATGGATGACATGGTTATGTTGTCAAAATAAACTAAAATATCATATGTACAATTCACCTTCTCCCTCTCCAGACTAAAAAGCCGTGTTTGGGCTCGCTCTACTTCATCCATCAAAAGGTTGACCTCGGATTGCTTTGCTGCCCTATCTTCCTCTGTATTGTTAAAGACAACGTAAGACACTAGCAGTAAGGGAAAAGGAAACAAAACAAACTAGAATCAAATTTCTTTTGACAATTAACGGTGTTGAATAACAGATTTGTACGACAAAACAGTCAGGTTCAGCTATCACCTGACTGAGCACGAAGTTCAAACAACTGGCTTTGTGCAAGTTCATGCAATTTTTGCATGTTTGAGACACTTTCTTTAGCTTGCCGCAATTGATCTTGCAAAGATTGCTCCCTGCATGAAGTAGATAATTCATACATTAGGAAACATAAGAACACAAGTCAAAGAACAGGTTCATTAAGACAGCTATTTACACACCAACCATTGTAATTGGAATTCTGGGGCAATTTTCTGTTACATTCTAATTCCTATGCATAAACAAGAGAATATCTCTACCAAGAGAAAGGAATGTCAAAAAGCTACACCACTAGAAGCAGAAGCATACCTGTCTTTTAAGACTTCTAGTGTTTTCTGGTTCTCTTCTGCCAAACTGCGCTGCTTAATCTCCACAATTTCTTTCACTTTTTCCTCCATCTGAATGCATGACCAAAATTAAGCATTTAGCTGTCTAATTCAGAAAAAAAAAATCCCGATTTAACTGAAGGGGTGAAAGAATAAAGATAAGGAAAATTGTTGGGTGGAACATTCAAGGAGACAATGCTTATCTTGCCATAATTGATATAGGTAAGAATTACAGAACATTGCTGGAACGTTTCACTAGATTTTTCATTACAATAAATTTAACCTGTGAACCCAATAATTAAACCTACTGGAAGTAAGTATTAAGTAGAGTTTGCATAAGTTCTTTGGCATACATCTTAAACCACATACGTATATAACTGAATAAAAGTTAATTGTCCTATAATTATGATCAAATTTGCAATATTTTTCATACACAATGGATTAGTTAGATTTTTTCCTGTTTAAAGAGGCAAGATCATATCTCAAGGCAAAGGAACTACACCAATAGTTGAACTTAGAAGTTAATAATAAAAGGCAACAAACTAAGCCATATGCCCTTTCCTTTCCCTTCTTTTATAAGTGAAGAAAGGCATATTATGCCATAAACTTGACATGCCACAACTATATTTCAAAAACATTAGTCTTTTAAAGAAAATTACACTGCAACTATAGTGGGTATGTTGCCAATTCCACACAACCAGTTCGAATTTTTTTTTTTTTTTCATTTCTCAATAATTCAAGTACAGGATATAGAATCCCTCTACAATTGGCACCAGAAGGTTTGAGCAGTCAAATCCTAAAATTCATTGACAGATGACATAGCTTGTGCAAATAGAATACAGAGACCCTGGAAACAAGTATTAACTGAAATAACATACGGAAAAAAAGTCACTCTCTTAACATTTTTTTTCCCAAGAAAAACAAACAAAATATAAAAGAGAAAAATATATGAAGGTAAGAGATTCAACCAGATAATGGAAAAGACTAGTCTCGTGAAATGCATCATTTCTCTTTTTTTTTTTTTTTTTTTGCTACTTTATCTTTCTGAAACATCAGTTTCAAACGAATGACAAATCCTCTCTAGTGGTAACATAACTCCTAACAAGTGATATAAAGATGCCTACTTGTAGAGGAAAAAAAAAGATAAAAAGAAAGGAAAAGGGCTGCAGATTAGGTATTGGGGATTGGGGGAAAAAAGTTCAGATTTTTTATCACAAATTCTGTGGAAATGGTCAATGTTTATGACAGCAGCTCAATGTTTTTTATGCATACTAAACTAGACTTAACAACGCATTACTTCCAATTAATAAGGAATTGAGGCTACATGTTTACTAGTATATAATTAAGTCTGTTTTATTTGTTTATTTATTTATTTGCATCTCTGACCAAGTTGTTGGTGTCATTCTTTTATCATCATGGCCACTCTCAAAACAAAAATATTTACAGTTCACAAGACTTGCTTAAGTAAGAAACAATAAAAAACACAACACTGCATTGCTAAACTTACAGTATTATGATTTATTAGCAAAGAAAATTAGGCATGCTAACCTGTTGTTCTAACTGGCGATTCCGTTCTTCAAGTCTTCTTATTGTAGCCTGCTGATTTTTTAAGTGCATCGCTTCAGTTCTGAACTCTTCAAGTTCAATTTTCATCTTCCGGTTCTCAGATTCCAATTCAGAAACTTTTAGGTCTTGCTCCTGCAGAGAAGGTGTGAATCCAATGAAACAAACTTGCATATAGTACATGACAAATGCATAGAAAGAATACTTTTGCTTGGAAGTGTTGGAACTACATATAGAGCAGAGTATAGGACAGTATATTATATGATTATTTTTCTGTTAATATTTTTACAGCTTCCAACTAACATGTTCTCAATATACATATTTTTCTGTATGATAACAATTTTTCCCTGTTAAAATTAAAAAATGTAAATAACATGTTATAATTTTGTACTGTTCCCCAGCATTTTCCATTCAATTCAGTATGACTTTTCTGTAGGTAAATTTCTAGAAGCTCAGCATAGATTTTAACAAAATTAAACTCAAATGACAGCAATGGGTTTATGAGAGGCAGATTACTAGTTCTTACAACATAAATATGAGGAATGGTGACCATAAAACATTGTTGCCTGACATAACCCAAGTCACATTGATACCAACTCACATGCATATCAAGGCTAGAATTAGATACACTAGCTTAAGATTTTGCATCAGCAGCAAGTTATTACATTAATTCATTTTAATAATTTTACTCTTCCCCTCTAATGCAACATTGATATTTTATTTATAAAAAAAAATCAGCAATGATACTAAATGAAACCATTTGCACACAGATACATAATTAATGTCACCGAAATAGTCCATCAAACATTGTTTGATTTGAATCCGAAAAATATAAATCATTGTCTGGACCTTAGTTTTACATACCATCTCACACAAATAAAAATCAGTTAACATTAAAGAAGTCCAATCAATTTAAAACTGACTTTTGGCCGCATACAACTGATAAAATGCAATAGTTAGTAGGATGTTGTTCTAAAGAATTACCAAATCATCTGAGCTAATACTTACAGCAATTGAAGCAAGAGCAGGATAAGGATCAGGAGCCTCATAAAGCTTTTGGTAGATGTTCAGAAAGGCATTCTCACCAAATTTTGCTCTCTTGGTAAGATTATCAACTTCTTCTTGGTAACCCTTAAGTAATGAATTAAATGAACTTAACTTTTCCTCTGCTGAAGCTTTCTTGAAATCTGTTATCATGGTTCATGACAAACAATAAGTTTGACAAAGGCATTTCTCTATCAAGATTAAACTGTTAATACAAAGAAATTTACGGCACAGAGGATAGAAAAAAAGGAAAAATCTTCAACTACTCTAATTTTCACAGTAATAAGAAATAACCTATTATTTGGTTTTCCTTTATAAATGGCATTATTCTCTCAACCTTCTTTTCTTACTTTTGCTCCCTAGTAACTGAACCAACAAAATAGAAAATCTTAGTAGTTTAGCCTCTATAAGACATATAAAAAAAAAAATCCGACACTTGAGGTTTTGATACTCGTGTCTACTTGTGTCCAACATGTGCCTAGAAAATACTAGGATAACTCATTTCTATTTAACTTTAAAAATTTATAGCGTCATGATGGTACCCTGCATCCTTGTTAAAAAACCTGCACAAAGTATTTATGATTACCACACACCCATGCACATGCATGAAGGAGCAAACAATACCTCTTGTACTCTCAGCAAGCTTCCGCCTATTTTTCTGGCTGTTTTCCTGATTTTCAGCTATTCTGAGTCCTTGTTCATCAAGCAAACTTTTCTCCTTTTCCAAATCAAATTCTGAAAAAGTGAGGAAAAAAAGGAAATTAATGCCCATCCCAAGAATGATTACTTCCCTATTTGATTATACTAGCACATAATCACAAACATTGTACATGAATAAATGTTATTAGTAACATATTTTTTATGTTAAACTATTGAATATAAATAAATAATTTTTTTTTACTTTATAAGTGATTTAATAGTATCAAAATAAGGCAATGGACATAAAGTGAAACCAAAAATACCATTAAATCATAGAATTCATTAAGAATTTAAATGTCATCAAGCAATAATTAGATATTAGTAATTCTATTTACAAGTTTCTCATAAATAAAATTTACGAAAGGGCAATTTAATAATATAAAACAGTCTAAACAAATCAAAATTCTTCTCCTAATCATCATCTTTGGAGTCGTCTCCAATGCAAATGAAGAATGTGTTCTCTTAGGCTTTGCTAGGTATTGAAGAAGGATGGAAAAGCAATAAAATAGAAAGCTGGAAGAAAAGAAAAGAAAAGAAGAAAGATATAGAACATTATTTGCAACATAATTTTTGTTGGGATGCTAGGTAGAGTTGGAAGTGAAAATAACATGATTTTTCCGTTGTACCTTTGAAAGAGGAGACAAAAAGGATAAAATCTGGAAAAAAAATGAACAATCTTGTAAATTTGCAACACATGACTCACATCTCACACGTTCTCCGTTTTGAAAGGATTATTTTTGTGAATATGGATAGAAAATGGAAATCTCTCCTATTTGACTATGTTCTTTTCTCACACTTTCCTCTCCAACCCTCACAATGAATAACGATTCAAAACGAAATCAGCTAATAATTTGAACAAAAGAAAGAAAATGCAGTCTTGGTTAGTTGCCATCTGAATATCCCTCCAATCGAAATCATTGAACAAACAAATTGGTCTCAAGCAACTTCATAAATCGATAAACCAGCTCGCCCAAACAAAATTAACACTAGAAATTTTATTAAGAAAAGGAATTTTTTCAATGAAGCTAACATCGATGATACCTTTCCAGAAATTGGAGACGACGGGAACAGGAGAAGAGGAAGGATTGGATTTGTCGCGGTCGGATCCACCTTGTGGAGCATCCATTTTGGGGAATTGTGACCACAGCAAATGGATGAAAATGGGTTCTCAGGATTTGAAATTTGCTTCTATTTGTTTTTAGTAGCGTTAAGGATAAGATCGACGATGGGGGAAGATTTATGGGACTTGGTAGATCTGATAATTGAATTTGGGGATTTTCAAGGTTCCTTTCAAAATAAATCTCGCTACCGATGGTTAATTAGTTTCAAGGTTAATGGGACTTGAAGCTTACTTATTACTGTTTGCTTAAGGCTTGGTTTATAGCTAGGCTCAGTCCATTTTGAATTCTCTTACCAATTAGGCTTTTATGGATCCAGTTTTAAAATTTTTGCTGACCTACGGATCCAAGTATTAATGTTGTAGAAAAGACATCATTTTCCATCCACTTGTGTAAATTCTATTTCTTCATAAACGTGACACCAAAAAAGATAGCTAGTGCTTATCGATAGAGAATGTATATCAATTTCTATTATATATCTTAATTAATTTCCAGAAAATTATAGCGCAGAGAATATTAATTCCCCTGACTTGATTTACAAATTACAATCATATATTTTCTTTTTGTTTTTTTTCTATGTCTTTCCAATATAAAATGTTGATGAACATCACTACAATTCTTAATCATGGTTAGAAAATTATGAAAAAAATAAAAAAGAAATTATCTAAATTTTACTAAAGTATAAAATAAATCCTCTTCCATGATCTAGAGGTTAAAACTTATCATATGTCATTACGGTATATTCAACTACCAATTCTCTTAAACTTGATAATACGACGTACTAAAATTTAATAATTAGATTATATTATAAATAGTTGTGTAGTTTATTGATTAAGTATTAAAATTTTAATTTTAGTAATTAATATTTAATTTTTGATAATTTTTAATACAAATAATAATAATAATAATAATAATAAATTATTTTTTATTGAAGATAGATAATAAAGAGGTGATTACTGATTATTAATAATAACATAAAATTAAAGATAGATAACTAATTAATTATAGGTGATTAGAATCTGTCTAGCTATGATGTAAGTTGATGCTGTGACTCTCTCACATATTGCACTATTATTAAGGTCAAAAGCTAGAAATCTTACGGTAAAACATACAAACATGGAATTAGTGTACGATTGGTACTATAATATTTACATTGAATATTGAAATTCGAAAACAATAATATTCTAATTCATGTTAAACGTCCACAACTTGCTTATTTATTCCATTTAATTTGCAGGATAAGATTTAATAATACGTGATCCTAATTGGTGATAAGTTGCATCTGTTGAAATGTTTAAACACTTATAATCATTGGTCTTGCTTTTTTTTTTCCTTGGAAAATATTAGGACTCTCAATCTACTAAAATGTAAATTAAATAAGCGCAGTACGCCAGAAACTGTCTATGGTGTATATTTTTTGCGGGATCTTTGTGTATGCTTAGCCCCTTATGTAAAGATTTATAATAACAAAAGTTAAGTGTTTGATTCTTAAAATTTTACGAATTTTAACTTATAAAGAAAGTAATTTTAAGTTTTTAGACAAAATTATAAATCAAAACTTTTTCAAAAAAAGTTAATTTTAATGACAAGTATTTAATAAAAATTTTTTACATTTTTACTTTACTCTTCAATAGTTCACAGAAGAAAAATTATATTATTTTAGATTTTTTGTTTTATCAATTTTCATTGAATTTATTTGTTTTTTTATTATAATTAATAAAAATATCATTTCATTTTATTTATTTTTTTACTTAAAAACTTATGATTTAATTTAATAAAATTGACTATTTATTTTTTATTTCTGAAAAATATAAAAAAATTATCAAATATTTTTTTCAAGCACTTCTATATTAAGTTTATTAAATGCTGTTTTAATTTTTCTTTACAACACATTTAAACAGTTCTACCCCAGCATCACATTTTTTTTTATTTGAAGGGGTTAAGTGAAAACATCGTTATAGACTATAATCAAAATTTATATTTTATGTTAATGTGTGAAATGTAAATATTGGATGAGTGTACATAATTTTTTTTTCTTTTAAATTATACATGGCTTGACAGTTGATTTATATAGCTAGAGGTGTAAAGTAAGACAAGATTAAAGTTTATAAGTGTAGAATGTGGTGCATCCAGAAAATTTTAATTATTGATAAATAAAATTAATATTTGTATTAATTTTATTCATATTTTAAATAATTATATTAGAACATAAATGATTATCATATGATAAATTGTTATAATTATTTGCATAATTATTTGAATATAAATAGATTATTATTAGTAAAAGTCATAATTATACAAAAGGTCACAACCATTTAAATAGAAATTTATGTCTGTTTATTTATTATAAATAAATATTTTAGTATAACCATTTTAACTACTTCTGCTTAAAGGATTTTGAGGTTTTGTTATATCTTAGAAGTATAATTACCTTTAAGATAATGTTCTTTACGTCTCAAAGTCAAAATTATTTTCTATTATCTCTCTTCTCTTATTTTTTTTCTAACAATTTTAATTAAAGGTAACTATGAAATTCATATTTCGTATGAGGAAGATATAAGAAAAAAATTGGTAAAGTTGGCTAAATCGAATTTTGAAACAAGCATGGAAAACTTCTGTTATCCAAATAGTTTCTTAGTGAATAAATACTAAATACAAGATAAGTTTCTTGTTATTATCTTTCTAATTTTTATATTTTATTAAAAAAATTAATGATTAATAATTCATAAAAAACCTCGAGTCTCATTGAATTTTGTTTCTTTATTAACTAATCTTTTAATCTTTTAATTTTGAATTAAATTATTTAATTTATGATTTATGATTTTATGGTGTCATATGTGTATTTTCTCAATCATAGCATTGAATGATCATGAACATAAAATGGACATGAAGTACTTGCTAGTTTTGATTATAAATCTTTTATAGCCTTGTTATATTTTGATAAAGATCATGGTTATCAAATCAAAATGATAAAATTCTCGAGAATTATTTTAAGACATAAAAGAAATTGTGAATTTATAAATCTTTTCGAAAAAGAAGTAAGTATATATGTTTTTATCATAAAATCATATTTTATGATACATAATTCATGATTGCATTTTATTAACAAGAGAATAATGCATGATTCATATTATTTAATTTATATAATATTGTTTCAATGAGAAATAAACATATTATTAAAGATAACTTCAATTCAATTAGAGAAGTTATATAATTCTTTCTAACTAGTTAAAATGGTTTGTATTTGTTGAGTGAAAAAATTTCATGTATTTTATAATTTGGACACAAAATTTATAGTATTATATGGTTGTACGTGAAGTTTTGACTTTTTTAATGACATGAACCATGGTGGATATAGCTTTGGTGTCCATAATCCAATAATTTTTAAGTATCCAAGAGTTAGAATGAAAGTCTCAAAGTGAGATTATAGAAAGCATGAGTTTACTAGTTTTGAGGGTGATTATATTTGGCATTATACTTATTGATGCATATTCTCATATTGAGTTGAAATAAAAATTTTGAAACTTTTATGAAAATGAAATATTAAAATATAGAATTTTTACTAACTATCTTTCACTAAAGGTGGATTTGGAGGCCTTCTTCTTAAATATATATATATATATATATATATATATAAAACCACCAAATAGTAAAAAGATAAATGAAATAGCAACTTAATTAATATATATTATATCTTGATAATTGAATGGGACATTCTTTAATAAAAGAATGCCTATTTGCACATGATGGGGGTGATAAGAATCAAAAGAAATAAAACTTAGTATTATAGTGTTGTAAGATTTTAAGTATAATTTATGAGCAAATTATACAAGCTAATAAGTTTAGTACACTTATTAAAGTTAAATCATAAAAAGGTCTTTAAAAATCTTAAAATAATTAAAATGACTTGGTTTATTCATTAAATTTATCCAATTATACTAGAAGTATAATTGTATTAAAGACATATAAAGTATGAAAATAGAATGGTTGAAATTTATGAGTATAAAGTTGCAGCCACAACCAATACCAACTATTTTTTAAAATGATAGGAATGAAGCAACAATGTCTAGAGCATGTAAATGATATGTAAAATAAAACGTTTGGACATATTAGCCTATGAAGTGAATATTTTAGAGATTCAATTTCAAGTGGGGATAATTACCAGAAAAAAAATTGAATTCTAAGATATTTGATTAGTAATACTTCAAGTAGAATGGGTTTAAACCCTTACTATTATATATCAATAATGGGAACCTAACTTTAAATTAATAACCTCTAATTTCAAAGTTTAATGGATAAAAACAAGTTATTGTTATGTGTTTATTAAATATTAATAAAATTCATTCAAATTTTAGAAACTAATGTGACCTATTATGAGAGAAAGAATGAGTTTTTATACTTTTAATGGAATTATTATTTAAATGTATAAATCAATGAAAACATACTGAAAACTTTACATATATAAACATAAAAGCGGCACTACTTCAACAAGTTGAATTGGGGTCTCTCTTATAAATATTTATAAATAAGATAAGCACATGGCCATAATAATATTATAAAACCTCTAATAAAAGAATAAATAAGTATTATGTGTATCTTTAATTCTAACACTAAGAGTTGAGGTTTAATCTGTGGATACTATCAACTTTGTTATAATTATAAAATATATACGCTAATTGAAGATTTAAATCGAGATATATCTTATTGTATTCATAATATTCATTTATATGAAAGGTTAAAGATTAAACACAAATATTCTAAACTAGTGGGAGATTGTTGGTAGTTTAGAATGTGGTATATCTTACCTTAAGCAAAAAAATTTAAGTATTAATGAATAAAATTAGTATTTGTATTAATTTCATTCATATTTAAAATAATTAGGTTTGAACAGAAACAATTATCATACAACAAATGATCATAACTATTTGAATATAAATAATTTATTATTCATAAAGGTCATAATTATACAAAAAATCATAACTATTTGAATAAAATTTTATGTCTGTTCATTTATTATAAATATATCTTTTAATATAACTATTTTAACTACTTTTGCTTATAGAGTTTTGAGATTTTATTATATCTTAGAGCCATAATTACCTTTAAGATAATGTTTTTTACGCCTCAAAGCCAAAATTATTTATTATTATTATTTTTCTTATTTATTTTGTCAACAAAAAGTTCTAGCATTAGAGTAGGGATAATGTTCAAATTAATCCCCTAAGTTTTATTCAATGTCATCAATCTTTTAACTATTTAAAAATTTGACTGTAATAATATATACTGTCAAACATGATAAAATTTACAATAAAAATTAAATCTCAAATGTACGTAGTAAAATTGTGATCGATGTTTTTATATTTAATTGTAAATTGTTACAAACAATAATGCCAAATTAATATACTTAATTATTCTTCTAGAGATTCATTTCCCTTGCCTTTTGCAACTAGAATCCAATTTCCAATGCAGCCAATCATCAGAACTCTTTTTCTCAATCCCTTTACAAAACACTCATTCAATGCATGGCTAGCTATTAGCCAAACCCTATTGTGGCCACACTAGTCATATCTTATTCTGCAAATAAGAATTTGCTTTTGATGATTAAAAAAGTAAATATCTAGTGTATCCTTAAACTTTATATCAAATATTATTTTGATTTTTAAATTTCTAAATGTCATTTGTTGGTTTTCATATTTGTAAAGTTATAATTTTTTATTAGGTTAAATCTATATATCAACAAGTTGATTAATAGTGTTAATCCAAGATATCAAAGTGGATGGTGGAATAAAAGTTAGAATACCAAATTAACAACGGTATTTGTTTAAACACCAAATTAACAGAATGTATAAAGTATAGAGACAATTTTTATATTTAACCATTTTATATTCTTCTATTAATGCTTTTATCTATTCAAACGTTAAATGACAGCTAACATCAAATAACGTTACGTGATATGTGTTGATTAAATAACGTAAATTTTTTATTAGTTTTTCATTACCAAGGAATTTTTATTCTTATAAAAAATAAAAATAATTTTAATAAATGTATTTTTAAAATTTCAAAATGTTGGCAAAAAAGGAAAATTGCATTTGGCAAAAAAATAATAATAAATAAAAAGCAAAAACTCTAAAAAAATTTTTGCATTATTTTTTAAAATTTTTATTTGTTTTTATCTTTCTTTTCTTTTTTTCCCCTAAACTCACCATTTCCTAAGACCAAGCCAAAATCATAAATTTTCTTCCATTTCTTTCTTTTTCGTTTTCTTTCTACATTTCTTTCTACATTTCTCTCTATTTCTCTACTTCAACTTCTTTAATGTTGATACACTAAACCTAGATCGAGAAGGGAATAAAGGAAAGTGGAAGAGACTTTTTTTTTTTTGCTTTTATAATGCACTAAAACATTGCAATTAGACAAGAAAAAAGAAAAAAAAATGCCATGTCATTCAATCCTTACATGTCATCTGATGCCATGTGTTTAACACTGGCATTAGTTGGAACTAATGTTTGAATCAAAGTTAAATTAAAAAAAAAATCAAAATGAGTTTCGAAATGGTCAAATTATGTTAAAGGTTCTTATATTTTACTAAAATTATGAATTTAGCTCATGTATTGTAATTAATACAAATTTAATTCTCGCACTATTTTAATTTGATAATTTTAGTCCAACCACTAATTCTGTCAATTCTTTCCATTAAAAATGCTGACATGCTCATTGAATTGATAACACGAGCATTGACTTTGCTAATGTGATATTGAGTTACTGACATGGCAATTTGGATTGATAAAATAAGTTGTTAAATTATATAAATAATCCTTATATTCACACGAAAGTTCAATTTTTGGATTTCAAATTTAATCCTTGTACTTGTTTGAAATTTAAAATTTAGTCCCTCTAATATAAAAATATTTTGAATTTTTCAAAAATTTTGTAGCATTTTAAAAATATTAAATTTATTTTTTTCAATATTTTATTTTTTTAATTTTCAATATTTTGAATTTTTAGAAATTTTCTAGTTTTTAAAAAATATTTAATTTACTTTTTTTAATATTTTAGTTTTTTAAATAAAAATCATTTTTTGAATTTTTTATGTTTTCAAATATTTAATCAAAATATTTAATTTTTTTAACTTTTTGGAATTTTATAAAATTTTCTATATTTTTTTAATTTTTTATGTACTTTAGAAATTTTCCATTTTTATAATATTTAAATGAAAAAAATAAATGAATAAACTAAAATGAAGACATAGGTCTTTAGAATTTATTCTGTTTGATACATTTGATATGGAAAGGCATAAAAATTTGGATAAACAAAGAAATAGTGAAACACAAAAAGTTTTTAATTTTGATTTTTTTTTACCTGAATAAGATAAAAAAAAACATGTAAATGTTTTTAAATTTGTAAACTCTTTTTAAAACTAAGATATTATAAAAATTTTCTGAAAAACATAAAAATTAAATATATGGAAAATTTTATAAGAATTCCAAATAATAAAATTAAATATTTTGTATAAATAAAAATGTTAAATTTTGAAACAATCCAAAACTTTCAAAAAATGAAATTATAAAAATTAAAATACTGAAAAAATTAATATTTTAAAAAAACTAGAAAATTTATAAAAAATTTAAAATATATTCTATGTTAGAGGAACTAAATTTTAAATTTCGTGTAAGTATAAAAACTAAATTTTAAATTTAATATGAATATAAAAATCATTTGCATAATTTAATAATTGATTTAACAATTAATTTTATTTATCTAAATTATCACATCAATAAGTTATCACGTCAACAAGTAAACGTCACGTTAACAAAGTCCATGGTCACATAAGCAAAGCTAACGGCTACGTTAACATTTTTAATAGCAAAAAATTAATGAAGTTAATTATTATTCCAAAATTATTAAATCAAAATATTACATATACTAAATTTATATGAATTATAGTATATAAACTAAATTCTAAAATTTTGTAAAGTACAGAGACTTCTAATATAATTTGACTGTTTAAAATTCAACCAATGACTTTTGAAAGTATACTAAAACAATATTTGATTCAAAGTGGATTACAAGTGCTATTTACTTTGATTAAAATGAATAGATTCTGGATGTGGGTGATTTTAGTTAAATGTTTGAAATTGTTAATTACAAGAAATTTTGAGTTTGTTTTTTAGTTCTGACGAAGAGTTCCGTATAATATTTTCTGATGCCTAACGAGGAGTTAAAATGTGGGAGAAAGAGAGGAGTTTTGAGGAGAAAAGAAAGGAAATTAAAAATAAAAAATTAGGCTCCATTTGATTATGCTTTTGTTATTTAGTTTTAAATTTTTCAATAAAAATAAAAAACAAACAACAAAAATAAGAGTTTATATTTAATATATTGTTAGTGTGTAAATTACTAGGCAATTATTAAAAAATTTTAAAATTTTTGAATTTTTAAAAATAAATATTTTTAAATTTTAAATATTTAATTATATTAAAACAAAATAATAATGTGAAAGTTTATGAGGCGCAAATAATGTCTAACATTTATATAATAACAATATATAAAATATAAATCCTAAAAATAACAAACAAATAATAAAAACTAAAAACATTTATCAAACGAAACCTAAAGAAAAGAAACAATAGAAAAATTGGCAAATGGCAACAAATATTGGCTAGCAATATTCCAACTACATATTAGATTTACTCTTGTTAAAAAAGAAAGTAAACAATCTTTTCATAGATATATAATGAGAAGAGAAATTAGTAAAATGAATAATGTTTGTTCAACTCCAATTCCAAACTGTCAAATGGGTAAATAATTTTTTTTTTTTTTTAGAAAAACCACCAGCTGGAATGCATGTTAAATTTTAATTTGTATATGTTTCTTTTAACCACAAGATGCATTTCACCAAAAAACTTTCAAAAAACAAAAAAGGATGGTTCTTTGCTTTTTTAAACTGAGAAAATATGTATCAATGATCAGTTCCGATTGACTTGGTCTTGTTTTAACCATTTAATCTTCCTTTTTTTTTTTTTTAAAGTTTGATTAAGAGAAAACCATTTAGTCTTACTGTAAGTATTACTACATACTATTGCTAATTGAAATCATTGTTCGTTTTCAACAAAGTAAGTTACCCGCCGCAGAATCATTCTCTTTTCTGTCCTATATGTGTCTCTTTTCTCGGGTCATCGGCTGCATTTGAGGGTTGAGACTTGAGACTAAAAACTCATAGCCACTGTGTCCACGCGTTATTGCCGACGCCCGCACATGGATTGGCTTCCAGTTCCCATTGCCAGCCATTTTGCTGGGAATATATCGGAATTCAGAAGTCTACGTCTTCCAGCCAATATAGTCAAAGTAAACCCTTCAATCATTCCAACCCATCTGTCACGTCGCCACCATCTTTGTCTCTGTGCACCAAACGCACAAAAATGACAAAAGGTCAACTCCTTCTTCAAGTCAAATAATAGTTTACAACCCCACTTCCCTTCTCGATTCATGCTTATCCCTACAACTTGCTAAATTTACACTACCTAATTTTCTTTCATTTCATTTTCCAGGAAATATCCCTTCATATTTTGCTTAATTATATGTTCAAATCTTTGGTGCTTCCTTCGTTGAATATTTCTACATAGCTAATTAAGTTAGCTGGCATTGAACTTTTTTTTCCTATAAAAAGCTAGCTTTATCACGAGTTCGTAAGCAGTAAGTAACAATAACGCCTTCTTTTCCTATCTAGTTTTGGCTCAAAGAAGAGCAAAAGAAGACTAGTGAGCTAGAAGGTATGGGACGCCCTGATGCAGACCCTTCTGCCTATGAATCACAACAAATTCAGACGGAATGTGAGCTGCAACCTCAAGAATATGAGCCAAACCATGAGGCCACACCAAATATTCCTGATGACTATGTAGCAGCAACCTATCAGAACAATCAAGAAGACCAGCAATACCAGCCCCAGCAAATGGTCGCACTAATTGGAAATGATCCTCAGGCTCAACAACAACAGTTCCAGCCCCAGCAAATGGGCGCACTTGGAAATGATCCTCAGGCTCAACAACAACAGTTCCAGCCACAGCAAATCCAACAGCAGTTCCAACCACAGCAGCCGCAGCAGCCACCACCAGCTCAGCCTCAGCCAAGACAATACCCCCCACCACATCCTAACCAAGCTTATCCACCGGTCCAGCCCGCACCATACCCACCTCAAAATTTGCAAAATAATCCAGCACATCCAAACTGGCCGAACCAGCAGCCTGCATCATATCCACCACAGCCAGTGCAGTACCCGCCCAAAAGCCCACCAACCAATCAGATATACTCAAATGTAAGCCCACCAGTGATGCAACCTCAGACCGTCTACGTCCCCTAACCTTTCAGCACAAGCATTTCCTCAACCTGCATACCTGCCTCCTGGTCAGGATATGCCACCTGCATCACCACATAAACCTGGGGGTCAACCTCCTGCGGTAGCAGGAATTCCAGTGGGTCCTGGTAGTGGCGAGGGTTGGAGAAGTGGCCTTTTTGATTTCATGGATGATCCGATGAACGGTAAAACTTCTCTAAAATTCTCAATATAACTTGGGTGCATGCATAAAGATAAAGAAAACACAAGTCGTCTGCTCGTTGACTCGTTGCTCACTGTTTCAGTTTTCCTATTAAGTAACAGCTTACAAACATTTCTATCATTGCTAGTGTAGTACATAAATGATAAATCTAGAATTAATGGGACTAGACTCTAGATTTCGAGTATTCTTTTTTATTTCTCTGTTCGTCGATTTTCTCAAAAAATTTTACCTAGCTATAGAAATCAAATAAAATTTTTAAAAAATAAAAATAAATTCTATCAACCATTTGACTGATGGAATGTAGTATATATAGATGCATGCTTCACTGGGTTGCCTCAAAATGCAACGTATTGTGGCTAATTTTGATTTGTTGTTTCTTTTCAGCTCTGAGTACAGCTTTATTCCCATGCTTGACATTCGGTCAGATCGCTGAAATTGTGGATGATGGCCACACAAGTAAGTATATATATAGAAGAGAAGTCTTTCTTAAGGTGTTTATTAATAAAAACATACATAATAGAAGTTTTCAGCTTTTTAGTTTAATAGTCAAGAAAACCTTAAGAAGAAGACACAAGATTGGAGTTCGATCCCAGCCTCTCTCCCTCCCCCTTAATGTAAGGTTTGCCCTCTTGTAACAAAAAGAAATTAATAAAAACATACATAATATATATATATATATGATAAAAGCATACAGTTTATAGTATATGAGGCTACAAATATAATTATTACTTATAATTATGAGTGCTTTTCTTTCCCTATATGCATTTAATTTTAGCAGTCATTAGTAAAAGGTGTTGCTTGAATGATTATAGAAAAAACTTCTTTCGAGAAAGGATGGAAACTTAATTATTTGATGATGTGATGCACGTACAGCTTGTGGAACCAGTGGACTGCTTTACGGTGCGATCGCCTTCTGCATTGGGATGCCTTGCCTAATGTCATGCACGTATCGAACCAAACTAAGAAACAAGTTTGGGCTCCCGGAGGCTCCAGCTCCGGATTGGGTTACTCACTTCCTTTGTGAATGGTGTGCTCTTTGCCAAGAGTACAGGGAGCTTCAACATAGAGGCTGGGATCCTTCTATAGGTAAGAATACAATTGATCCATCTGGAAGAAAAATGCATTGAGCAAACAATTTTAAATTCTTACAATACTAGAAAAATGGGTTTTAACAACGCTTAAAGTGATTGTAAAATATCAATTTATTGTTGAAAAATCTTATTTACAAAACACTTAAAGTCGTTGCAAAATATCAATTAAAGTGTTGTTAGAAGTCTTGATGTTTTTTTTATGTTTTGTAGGATGGCAGGGAAACCTGGCAAAGAACCAGATGCGGCAGCAGGCAATGGTGGCACCGACGAACCAAAGAATGATGGCTTGATGATGAGAAACTGATCTTTCGAATGGTTTTGATTTGTTTTTTTTTAGTAATGTTTCTGGTTGGATTGTTATATTTTGAGTCAAATGCTCCCAATTTAGTTTCTGTTGATAAAATATCTCAACGAGTGTGTTCGGTTGTAAACATGTAATTGCTTTCAAAAGGAAATATTATGTTTCTTATTTAATAATTATAAACTACTAGATCATGACATACTTATTACTGGGTGAAATAAAATATTAAGTATAAATAAATAAATAAGAAGTAATTAACGAACTATCGGATAATTTGTTATTAGTGATATTTTCAAATTAATTGAAAGGAAATTATTTATTATTATTATTTTTATTTGTTATATATTTCTTATTGTTGATTGAACTGGTGTGACTTAACTTCTAACACCAAACTCAATTTTAGTATAGATGTATATAAATTTGCATTGAATTACTTATGGGATCTTACGAGATTTTCAAATTTGGGAATAGATCAAATGATTTGGTTAAGGCATTCACAGTAAATTAATAAAAAAAAAGGGATGTGGTATAGATTTTTCTTTTCGGTTTCCTATAATTTTCATTCATATACTGTATTTATATTAGAGATGTTCAAAGACCAAATTATTCATTGGGATATGTAACCAGAAAACAATTTCAGTGGGTCATATTCATATACTAATTTGTATTATGTAACACGTAACATAAATATTTTTTACATTATATTTTTGAAAAAAAAAAATTGCCCCAAATTCAATTGTTTTAAATATTAAAAATATATATTTAATAAAAAAGATTTCGATGGGACATTATCTCATATAATTATTGGTGATGTAATTATCTTTAAATTTATAAATTAAGTTGAGAATTGCTTTTTTTTTATTCTTTGTCAAATCATTTTTGGAATTACTTGATAAAATATTTTAAAAATTAAATTAAAATAGAGAGAGTTGTTACCAATTTTTATTGTTTGGTGTGATTGGATATATAAAAATTTATTATTTTAATAAAACCTTAAAACTATATTAAAATTTATCAAAAACCCAATTTTGATATTTGAAATTAGCAACGGGACAATGAAGCTAAGGAAAGATGGATCAGGATCTGGCAACAAATGAACTCACCAAAGTTGAAATTCTTTCCGTGGGAATGTGCTAGAAAATTCCTTCCAACTCGAGCGTCGTTCCTGAGGTCAAGAGGTATGAATGTGCCGAACGAATGTCCGTTCTGTAATCACTTAGAGGAGACAACAAACCACTTACTAGCTGAGTGCCTTGTTGTTAAGGCTTGGTGGTCCTCTATGAATCACCCAATTCAATCTAGCCTTAATAGCAGAGAAGCGTAGGAGAAATGGATCAAATCAAATGCCATGAATAAATCATGGTTACCTAACAAGATGGTCCCTTGGAGCACCATTTTTATTTTCTTGTTATGGGAGATTTAGTGGATGAGAAACAAGTTGATTTTCGAAGGAAAACCCATTAACAACAGAGTGATCGAGAAGGCTATGGATGACATTACTGAATATGTTACTCTGGTGGGTCATGCTAGAAAAGTGCCCATCCTTCCACCATTTGTGTTAAGTGGAAACCACCTGTCCAGGGGTGGTATAAGCTCAACACGGATGGTTCTTCTAAGGGTAATCCAAGGAAAGCTGGGGCAGGATCGATCTTAAGAAACCAAGAAGGAGAATGGATTAAGGGCTTTACCAGACACATCCCTAGAGCTACGAATGTTGAAGTTGCACTATGGCCGTTACGAGATGGTCTCATCCTGGCAAAAAATAAAGGAATTGAAAGACTAGAAATTGAGTTGGATGCAATGGTAGTCATCAACCTGATTACTAGATCAAACATTACTAATCTACGCCTTAACACCCTCATTTTTTATTACAGGATTCCGTTAAGGACCTTTCATCAGACAATGATGAATCATGTATACCGTGAAGGAAATCAGTGTGCTGATGCACTAGCAAGATATGGTAGCGAGGAATCCGATTTCATTTATAGTTCTATGTATGGCAGCTCTTCTGTTATATTGTTTAATGACGTTTCTACTTGTATTGCCCTTGTTTTCCTTACTGAAACTCGTGGGGCTGTTATATACCACACTATATTTCAAGTTATGCGTGTTTTTTTTCTTTTTTTCTTTTCGGATAAAAAAAAAATGACTGGATTTTTGGAGAACAAGAAAATGAGAGCAGGCTGGTACTTGACCTCCTCATTTTTCATTTTTCTTAATATTTTAATTAATTAAATTAATTAATATTAATAAAATAAAATTGGACTTTAAAGATTTTGGGCCTGAATTGGACTTTGAGCTTTAAAATTGAATTTTCAAATTTTAATTCAAAATTAACCCAAAATGAAATTGAATTAAGCTTGGATCCATGCAAAATAATGTCAAAATCAATTAATCTGAATCAAAATTTGAAAAAACCCAATTAAAACTCTTAAGCTAACTTAAATTGAAACGTTCAAATCAAGTTTAAAAGCAAATAAATTGGAATGGATTTGAACAAAATTAAGTGTTTACCTTTTTTTATATTTTACTTTGCTATCTTTAAATATATAAGTATAGTAAAAAAATATTTTTGAATAAACAAGAAATAAAAATTAATATTTATATATAATAGAATTTATAAATTTACTTTCATATAAAACATTTAGACGTAATAATTGATACTTATTAACATATAATTATATATTTTTTGAAGCAACACGTCATTATATTTATACCTAAATATAAAATTGTTTAATCTTGTGTTTGGAATCTAAACAATATTATTACAAAAATAGATAAAAATCTTATTTGTTTGACCATTCATTTTATATTTTAATTAAATTTTATTGACATCAATAAAAAAGTTACAAAAAATTTAGTATTTGTTACATGTATAAATATAGCTATGTAAAAGTTAAATGGAGTCAATTGACCTTACAATTTATGTGCGACTATGTAACTAGTATTCATGAATCGAATCAAATTGAATTAAGTGTGATTAATCTTTTGAAAACCCTTGCCTAAAGTTTGTGTTGGGGCATTTAGTGGTTAATATGATATTGTAGTTTTTTCCCCTTATTAGAGGTTGCCAACAAACAGTCAGGGCATTTCAAATATTTGAGCCGACTTGACATGCTTGACATGTTTAGTGTTACATTTGCTCAGCTACATCACTATTGTCCGCCACAGGTCTCTCGCTTTTCTATCTATAAATATGGACATCCAGGTACTATCATTCTAAGTTTCAACTTGTTTTAATTCTTTACTTTTCTCTCATTCCAACGTTCTTTATCCAGATCTCTGACTTATGCATCAAAGTGCAAATGTAAGAAATACTTCATGTTTTTGTATCTAATTGTTTTATTCATTTTTTGTCTTTTCAGGATGACCCTTGGATTAGAGCTCGGTACAAATATTTGGTGTGCCAAGTAGGGGCCTTTTACTTATCAGCTGAGCCTAAAATCTTGCTACCTAGGAAGAGAGCTATGGAGGAAGGAGAGAACTATCCTAGTTGGAGAAAAACACATAACTACCAACAGACAAACAACTTGCCCCACAATAGGTCGGCTTGACCATGGAACAATTTCAAGCTTTAACTAAACAAATACAAGCTCTAAAACAAATGCTACATACCATAACCTCAAGCTTCAACGATGCTAATCTAGTCACCCCTAGTTGATAAGCCACAAAAAGGTAATTAAGCTATGAGGAAATAGAAGCTTCTTCGACTTCTAGGGAAGAAGAACACGATATTTTAGCTACCCACCATTATTGTAGCCACAATGTGATACAACTAAAAAATCAAAACAAACCAATTTGAAACCCCAACCGAGTAGAGACCTAAAAGTTTGAATACAAGCTATAGATAAGGAGCTAAAGGGGAAGATAATTGTTTTTAAGGACGAGCTCAAGTTTATGGAAACCTCACCCTTCATCAGAGAGATTGATAGAGCTATGCCTCCAAAACGATTCAAAATATCAACTTTGGAAACTTATAATTGTACATTTGACCCATTTGACAATTTAGAGCTTTATAGAATTAATATAATGATGCAAGGTGCAAAGGAAATTCTGATGTGTAAAGGTTTAGCTACCACATTCAAGGATGAGCTTAATCTTGATATAGTAGCATCAAGCCAATGTCAATTACAACATTTAAAGAGCTCAGTCACTATTTTATGTCCTGTTTTGTAAGTAGTCAAAGAATAAAGAAAATGACTTTCAGCTTGATGTTAATCCATTAAGATAAAAATAAATCTTTGGAAACTATGTTATGGGTTTTAATGCGAAAGCTCTATAGTTGAAAGGCCTAGAGTAGATGACTGTTATAGCCACCATAGCAAATGAACTCAGTGATAAAGAGTACCATCTTAAGTTGACATTATCCTTAGAGCCACCAAAGACATTGGTTGATGTCTTACTTGTGGTCAAAAAATCTATAAATGCTAAAGCTACAATGAGAAACAACTGAGGTAATAGAGGTTTACCTCAATTATAAAAAAGGTAAAGATTTTTACCATTCTCCCTCAAGCGGGAGATAACATTGGGTTAAAAACCTTAGCAAAGAAAAAAACTACACGTATTAAATACATCATGAGAAAGAATTTTAATACAAATTAAAAGAAATCCAAAGCTTAGATGGCCAAAGTCATTAAAACAAAACACAATAAGGGATTTGACTAAAAGAGACATAGGCCGCAACATTGAAAACTATGTCGATCTAAAAAAAAATGAAACTTTAATAAACTAGCTAAAAAGATTTATGGATTGATGAAGACAAGGTTAGAGTAGAACGAACTATAAAAAAAATCATAGAGAACCCATAAGGGATAGGAAAGGCAAGCCAAAAGAAAACATGAAGGGAAAATTTGAGGGGATGATAGAAATAGGATGAAGGATAAACTGTTGACAATAAATCAATTATCGAGGTAATTAACATGATCACTAAGGAAAGCTCTACCTTGGCTAAAAAGAAGTTTGATTAGGGCATAGTCATGGTCATTAGCTTTTTGGTAAAGAAAAAGAAAGACTGAAAAGATGAATCGATCTCATTCAATTTTAAAGATTTAGAAAGAATATAATATTTCTATGATGATGCTATAGTGATTACGATTATGGTATATAATTATGTGGCCAAGAAGATTTTGTTTGGTAATGAAAGCTCGATCGATGTCCTATATCATGCTACTATTAAAAAGATAGGAATCAAAGAAGACCAACTATAACTAATCACCATAACCTCGATCGGATTTGAAAATGAATATGCACAATCAAAAGGGCTATTAAATTATTGATTTATTTGGAAATGAAGCT